CGATAAAAAAATTTTGATAGAAGAAATATTGTGTCAAAATTCTTTACAAAATCTAAATTTCATTGAAAGTTTCGAATGAAACATTTACCTCAAATTTTTTGATAAAACAATTTCCGTCGAAATTTTTGACAAAAAATATTCCGTCAAATTTTTTGAGGAATTCTTTTTTTGTTTAAAACATTTGATTGAGGAAATCATTTCCGTCAAAACTTTTGATGGAAACTAAATTTCGTCGAAAATTTTGATAGAAAATTTATTTTTGTAAAAATTTAAACGGAGAAAAAATTTCGTCACTTTTCTCGAAATGTATTCTAACCAAAAAATAATTTTGTGACGAAATTTTCGTTGTTTGCAATGTAAAAATATGATCTTTTTTTAGTAGGGGTGTGCATGGGGCTAGGTCAGGTTTTTGTGCCGACTCGACCCAACTTGATTTTTATAAGTCAGGTATATTGACCCGACCCGCTTTAATTTGATCCAAGTCAGGTCTGACTTGGTTTGGATTTTTTTTGAACTAGTTCTGAATCGGGTCGGATCTGACCTAACTTAGTTTCTGAAGTGGGTCCGACTTGGTTTCCGAAGTGGGTCATATCTGACCTGACCCGTTTTTGACTTGCTTTCAAAACATTTTTTTAATTTGATTTTTTTTTATAGTTACTGATTTATTTTTTAAACTCATGCAATTTAATTATTTATTTGTTTTTAAATATATAAATTTTATAATAAATTTCATATTGTTTGAATAAATAAGGGAATGTAATTTTAAGCCCCTGCACATGTGAAGCAAAATTAGTGAAAATTAATGAAAAGTAAAGGATGAGAGAACGCTCTTCCCATCTTAAGAGGACAAAGCACTAATTTTAACAATACTAAAAAATATCTTATTTTCGATGAAATTTTTACATTACAAACGACGAAAATTTCGTCACAATTTTTTTTTTTTTTGCGTCGGATTATTTTTTGTCGAAGAGCGACGAAATTTTTCTCTAATGAAAACTTTTACAAAAATAAATTTTCGACGGAATTTAGTTTCTGTCAAAAGTTTTGACGAAAATGATTTCCCCCATCATATGTTCTAAACGAAAAAAGAATTCTGTAAAAAATAGGGACGAAATATTTTTCGTTCAAAATTTCGATGAGAATGTGTTTTGACGAAAATTATTTTGAGGGAAAAGTTTCAATCGAAACTTTCGACGAAATTTAGATTCTCTGAAGAATTTTAACATAATATTTTTTCAGTCAAAAATTTTTTATCGGAATTTTTTTTGTCAAAAATTTTTACGAAATGTTTTGACAGAAATGTGTTCCATTGAAAATTTTGATGGAAATATTTTTGTATCAAAAAACTGGACGAAAATATTTAGTCCAAAATTTTTTTTTGTCAAAAAGTTTAACGAAAATGTTTCCATCGAAAACTTTCGCCGAAATTTGAATTTTGAATAGTATTTTGTTGAAATTTTTTTCCGTCAAAAAATTTGGATGAAAATGTGTTTCGTCAAAAAAATTTATGAATATATTTTTTTGTGAAATATTTTGACGAAATTTAGATTCCGTAAAAAAATTTGACAAAAAAATTTTTCCGTACATTTTTTTGCAAAAATGTTTTTAGTCACAAATTTTGGTGAAAATATTTTTCTTCACAAACTTTTACAAAAAATTTTGATGAAAATATTTTCTGTAAAAAATTTTGACGTAATTATTTTATGTTAAAATTTTTCTTTTAACGTAATTGTGATTTTTTTCACGTAATGGGTGTGGATCAAGTTTTGAGTCATTGCGTCATTATTATAACAAGTCAGGTATAAAACTGACCCAAATAAAAGTGGGTCAGTATTTAAACCTAGTTCAAAAAAAGTTGTTGTTTATGGGTGAGGTTAAGACCGGATCAAGAGCAGGCAAGTGAATCAGTTTTTTTGAACACTCCTGTTTTTTAGTATAATGAAAAGTACATAAATATTTTTTATAGAAATTTTAAATTTAATTTAATTTGTAAAATATAATAATTGTATTATTTTAAAAAAGGAATAAAATGGTAAAAATATCTAATTAACTCTCAATTTTTTTCCTTATCATTTTTTCATCGTCAATAAGGGAAGAAAATATCCTTCAATTTTTATCCCTTCCTTCTTCTCCTTCCTCCATGAATCTTCTTTCTTTTCTTTCCCTCCAAACTTTCAAATAAAACCTTAAATTCGTTTTATCCGGTAAAAATGGGACTAAATCCTATCATTTTTCGAGATTCTGGATAAAAGTCGTATTTTTTACTCCTTTTTTGTTTGGTTGACTTTTTGGTGGGACCGATATACAACTCGATTTTGCAATAGTATCTCTCCTACGAGAGAAACTTGAATACATCCGTTGTATCTTACTGGCTACTATTTTTTCCAATTTTGAATCCTATTCTATTTTTTTATTTTTATTTTCATGTAAGTTTTCAAAAACTTTATTCTTTTGGGCAGATGCATCATACATCGGATGTATTGAAGATTTTTCCCTCTCCTAATGACTTATGTCCTTACATGTGTATGCATGTGTGGTAAAAATTGATATGAAATAAATCTCGTGTTTCTTCCTGTAAATGTGTCCGTCATTATGCTCTTTCTTAAGCAAATATTTAATGGGAAAAATGTTTTCGCAGTTAATGCAGAGAAGTTATCTGCATTTATTTCCAAAATGACGTCGTTTTGGTATTGAAATCTTAAAAAATTATAAATATAAAGACTATTATAACCCTAAAATAAATTAAAATTACAAAAACACCATGATTTCTGTCCTAAAACGACGTCGTATTGGCTTACTGCAGATAACTTATCTGCAGTAACTCCAGAATAAGCGAACTCATATTTAATATGGTCCGGAACCACTGAATCTTTAGGTACTTTCTCTCACATCATTAATTTTTTTCTTTTCTTGTTTATCTCTGTTATTTTTCTTCTTTTCTGATTTTACCCTCCTATTTACACTAAGGACCACCTAAAAAATGATGGTCCCGAATCACTCTAAATAATCTCCTACCTTGAATGGAGCAAACTTTTGGTACCACGGTTGTAGGTACAACTTCCATTCAAATTTTGCCATTTGGATTATATTTTTTTTTTTCTAAATAATCTCCTTCCTTGAATGGAGCAAACTTTTGGTACCACGGTTCTAGGTACAACTTCCATTCAAATTTTGCTATTTGGATTTTTTTTTCTCATTTTCACATTCTCTCCATTTTTTGATTGGTGCTCCTCACCAAAAAAAGGGTACCATGGTTGTACCTTAGAAGTTTCCCCTTGAATGGGAGCAAATATAATGGAGAGAGAGAGAGGGAGAAGGAGAAGAAAGAGGAGAGAGAGGAGCAGGGAATTAATTTTTCTTGAATGGTACTTTTTACATCGAAATGAATTCTTTCATTTTAAAAAAAAAAATATGAGATGATATAATTATAGTCCTACAAAAACAAATTAATAGTTATAATTTATTAACAATTTATTTTAATATTTTTTCTTTTATCATTGATTTTTTTTTGGGAAATAATACTCTCATGTTACATGAGAGTAAACTTTTTTCCTACACAAATTCGTTTTCCCTGTCAATTAATTTTTTTTTTTAATATAAAATATGAGACCCACGTTCAACTTCTCTCTACTTTTTTTCTCTCCTATTATCCTACAACGTAAGTAAACTTAAACCCTTCTTTTTTATATGATTATAATCACTTATATGACTATATAATATCTTCTTTGACATGAGAAGATTACATAATAGCCTCATGGTTTAGGGCAACAAGATAAAATTGACATCTTCTCAGTACGGCAAGCCAAAAATGAAAATTTATATTGACCCTCTTGTTCCTTTATCCCAGTCCTTATCTCTGATCATATTTTCCAGTTTGCGCCGAGTCGCCGACCGATTATATATTTTTATCTCCCTAGTTTTTTTTTAACAAAATAATCAACAGACTTGCGTGCCTGAACATTGACATTAAATTTTCCTTTCTCAAGTGACCCGATATCATAAGAGTTAAATTATAACTGTTAAATTGATACAGATCATTAATTGTGAAGGCTCATTAATTGTGAAGTGATAAATATATCCTGGCCTGAACTATTAACAAGTCCAAAGCAAACTTAAAATGTACTTAAAATATATTGGATGGGTCAAACAGAATAACGCAGAAATATAACTTGTTTGCAATCCAATTTTTGACGTGAGAACTGTAACGCAGAAAATGCCTTATTTGATTGTGTTCTGATTTTTTTGTTCTTAGAATTGTTTTCAAAAATAGTTATAAAAACAGTTATTTTTCACAAAAATAAGACATGTTCTCTAAATTTGATTTTAAAAACAAAACAAAAAAACAGTTATAGTTTTCAAAACATTTTTTTACAAAACATGTGAACGACTTTTTTAGTTTTTTTCTTCGCAATCCAATTTTGACTTGTACCGTGAGAACTGTTAACACCAATTTTGACAAGTACCGTGAGAACTGTAACGCAGAAATATTACTTATTATGCGCGTATAAATCTCGCCTTTCTTCCAATATAGAGTTCTATCCTATGCTCTTAGTTTGCATAACTAAGAGACATCTTTCACATGAAATAGACATTACAATTGCATAACTAACAATGTCCTATTCATTGTCAAACACGAACAGGCATAACTTTTCACCATCGAATTGTCAAATACGGACAGGCATATTTTCACCATGAACAGGCACAATTCTACTGTTTGTGTAGAACTGGCATATTTTATTCTTTCATTTTTCATTGCTTTGTTATCCACACATGATCTCCGCTAACATCCGATATCAATCCTATGCAATTTACCCAATTATGATATCAATCTCCCTAGTGTTAATACTACAAACCACCCCGTAACAATAAGAACATGTCGCTCCTTACACAATTCGATTTATTAATTCAACAAATACAGAGCAACATTTACCTGTAAACTTAATATATAACAACTCAAACAGCGGGACAACAAAGTTGCAAAGCAACTTAGCAGGTAGTAATAGAAAGTACTAAATTTTTAAAAGATCGTAATGGACAAATTCAAACCAAATTTATTTCAAAGGGTAAACACAGACCCATTAAACACCCACAACCACAAGTTTATAACATCGAAACCATCCAACATCACAAGTTTATAACATCCAAACCATCCAACATCACAACGATAAACATCCAACTTAAAATCCACCACGAAGACGCAGCACAAGGTGAAGGGTGGACTCCTTCTGAATATTGTAGTCAGCAAGGGTCCTTCCATCCTCCAACTGCTTCCCTGCAAAGATCAACCTCTGCTGATCCGGTGGGATACCTTCCTTATCCTGAATTTTTGCCTTCACATTGTCAATGGTGTCCGAGCTCTCAACCTCAAGGGTAATGGTTTTCCCAGTCAAGGTCTTAACAAAAATCTGCATACCTCCCCTGAGACGAAGGACAAGGTGAAGTGTGGACTCCTTCTGGATATTGTAGTCAGCTAAGGTACGCCCATCCTCGAGCTGCTTCCCAGCAAAAATCAACCTCTGCTGGTCCGGGGGAATACCCTCCTTATCCTGGATCTTGGCCTTAACGTTATCGATGGTGTCTGAACTCTCTACCTCAAGGGTAATAGTCTTACCGGTAAGGGTCTTTACGAAGATCTGCATACCACCACGAAGACGCAAGACGAGGTGGAGAGTTGACTCCTTCTGAATGTTATAATCGGCCAAGGTACGCCCATCTTCGAGCTGCTTACCAGCGAAGATCAGCCTCTGCTGGTCCGGTGGGATCCCCTCCTTGTCCTGGATCTTGGCCTTGACGTTGTCAATGGTGTCTGAGCTTTCAACCTCAAGAGTTATGGTCTTGCCTGTTAGGGTCTTGACGAAGATCTGCATGCCACCGCGGAGACGAAGGACGAGATGGAGGGTGGATTCCTTCTGGATGTTGTAGTCGGCGAGCGTGCGACCATCCTCGAGTTGCTTGCCGGCGAAGATGAGACGCTGTTGGTCAGGGGGAATTCCTTCCTTGTCCTGGATCTTGGCCTTGACGTTGTCAATGGTGTCCGAACTCTCGACCTCGAGAGTGATGGTCTTGCCGGTGAGGGTCTTGACGAAGATTTGCATCTATAAAGTCAACAGATAAATCAAAATCAGATTCAAACAACCACTGCAAAAATGAATTCCAATTATATACAAATAAATATCAAGCACGGATCTGTAGAATTTCATGTGAAAACCCTATTTGGTTCGTAACTACTATTTTTTATACCAGATCTAAATAAAAACACATCCATGACTATAAATCAACAACCAAGGCAAGATACAGACAAAAATTTCGATGTGACCAATAATTTGAATCGATGGAACTATACAGGTTCAAGCAGATCTAAACTTTCAAGCAAAAACACTATTGAAAGAATCTTCACGAACAAAACGAAAGAAACTATATTCACTAATAAAAATAATTTAAAGAACAGATCAAGAAGAAAAAGAAATTGAATCAAACATACCTTGAAACGTAAAGAAATGCACAATGGACTAGATTCGTTAGAAGATGAATTGCGAGGATATGCAGTGGGTTTGGGGGAAATTTATAGCAAAAGTGGTGGAACCTTTCGCCAGTCATGTTGTGACGCGTGTCCATTTGATGTGTCATTTGTTGCTTGTGACACGACGATTTTTGGTATCTGAGGCGTTTCGGGGAAACAAATCTTTGCTGCTACTGTAGCACCAAAGATTCAGTACATCTCATCAATAAAAATATTGCATGTCAGCTAAAATTTTATTTTCTCTGAAATTTTTTTTTTCTCTCCTATGATGTGTAACGCTCTCATTGATGAGATGCATTAAATCTTGGTGCAACAGTAGCACAAAAAATTTATGAGTTTCGGGGAGGTCCTTTTCGGTAATTGAGAAGAATTTGGTGTTTGTGATTTTAAATGATTATGTCATTTTAAGAGAGATACATAAAGAATGAAAATTATGGGATAAAAAATGGGTTTTTTTTTAATTTAAATTTTAAATAAAAAAATATTTTATGTTTATCTTTCTTTCTAAAAGACATAACTTTATGTCATTTAGAATTACATATATTTTTTCAATTAAAAATTGCAAGTTGGTGAGGTTGGTGGCGGTTACATAATGTTGACGGAGTCAAAATCACCTTCACCACTGGATTAATCGTTACAACGGCGTTACCTATGTTCGGCCCCACGTCATGATTTGGGCACGCTGTTATGCTAAAAGAGTTAGATTTGACACCGATTTGAAATGAAATCATATTTTTTAAGAGGGGATTATATTTATTTATTTTAATTATTAATTTTATTAATCTAATGATTATAATTTATTAAAAATTAATAATTAAGTAATAAGTATGAATCAATAAATTATAATTGTTAGATTGACGAAAATTAACAGTAAAGATTTAATAAAAAAATAATAAGAAAAAAGATAATAAATACAACTTTTCTCCTTTTGAAAAATGTGATTTTGGTTTTTTAATTATTCTTAAGTTTTCAAACAAAATGATTTTCCCATTCTTGAAATGAAATCACAAGTGTAACTGTGAATTTTTAAGGCTTCTATTTTCTCGGTACACTATTTTCTTTTTTAAACGAAATCACATATTTTTGGTTTCTGTAAATTTTCATGTTTAGTTATTGGATTAAATTTAGGAAAATTGATTTCTTATGTTATACAAGTTAAAAATAGTTTTCTATACTCAGATATAAAGAAATGAAACTCATTTATACATTTTTTCTCTTATATATTCTATCTCCTGTCTCCTCTCTTCTCTACATATGTGTGTAGGAAACTTATTTTATCTTATATAACTTAAAGAAAACAATTTCTCTTAAATTTAGTACTAACATTTTAGTGAAGACTAAATTTTCTTAATTTTTTTTTTCTAATGAGGAACTTTGGTATAGACATCCATTGCATTATTTTTTAAATGGATGATACAACTCGAAGACGAAGGAGCCACCACTAGGGGTGAAACCGGGCTGGCCCGGCCTACAGGGGTCTATGGCTCGGCCCACGTCAGGTCAGACCTGACCTAGTATATTTCGTAAAATAGGCCGAATTTGGGCCTTGAAAAAGCTTGTTTAATAAAAAAGGTCGTAGGCCCACTTTCACAAGGCTTGGCCTATAAGCCTATAGGTCGGCCTATATTATACTATTTATTTTAAATAAAATAAAATAGAGTAAGTATGCCTTGAAGAAAAAACAACATATATAAATTTAATCAATTATAATTATTTATAACTTAATTATATTCGATTATATTTTAATAGAAGTATGACTTTATTTCTTATATAGGAGGAACCAACATCTCAACATGTTAGATTGTGTATATGAATATATTAAAAGGTTTTTGGGAGAGGTTATACTTACTACAAGCATCATGATGTGTGTTTGTTGGATTCATGTAGTTATTCTAATTTACATAGTATGGATTTGTTTGTTGGATCTTATGAAATATATGTTATTTAGTTTGAGCATTTTTGCTTTTAAAAATGACTTAAATGCAGATTGCATGAGTTTTGTTATGATTCGTGATTCTGTTTGGACGTTAAAATTGTGATTTTTTGTTTAGCAACAGAATTTGAGTATTTTGTAAAGTTGATTTATGATTCTGCTTGGAAGTTAAAAATTAACGGGCTAAGCCAGGCCATTTGTTTTTTTATAAACAGGCCAAATCAGGCTAACAATTAGACTTGTACTATATTTGGATCAGGCCAAATTGAAATTTTTTGACGTAGGCTTAGACTTTTCTAGGCAAAATTTGGCCCAGTCCAACTCACTTTCATCCCTAGCCACCACCCACAAAGACGAATAGATGTATGAGAATAAAAGTTCGAATCGACTTCAAAGTCTAACTTGAAATAAAGCAATGTGGAAAATAGATAACTGACGAGCACGAATTTTTTTTAATTTTTTTTTTTTTAACTACAGCCGGAGCATCAAATTTGTTTTATTTTCCTCAAATTAAAAAATTTCATATCATTTAAATTCCTGTCTTTTATATATTTTTCTTTACGTTTTGATAGTTTATTAATTTAAAAAATAATATAGGTATTACTGTAATATCGGAAAAGCTCTTAATGAATACCATATAATCTAATTTAATGGGGAGAAGGTCGAAAAAACAAATACTATTACTTCACTACCAGATAAATAAATAAATATATACATATGCATGTTGTCAACTACATTAAATGACATTAATGAATTAATATTTTATTTATAATTAAAAGAGAAAACAATTTTAAGGTCATGTTTATAGATTTATATTTATATTTTGTAATAGGAATTAATATTTATTCTTTTAAAAGACATATAATTGTGTTATTTCAGGTGAGAGAAAGAGATATGTATATATAATGAAAATCATGGGAGAGAAAGTGAGAGATTTTTTTTTTAATTTAAATTTACAATAAAAATACTAGTTTTAATGACCATTCCTTAAAAGGAAAAATATTTTTTCCTTTGTGATAAAATAATTTTTTTTTATCATATCTGAAATAAAAAGTTACAAATTTCAATACTTTTATATTCTTTTAACTAAAATAATGCATATAAATTATTGGAATATAGAGGAGTAAAGTATATGAGGAAAAATATAAGGGATCTTCAATTATGGCAGAAACTGAGCCATATAACTATTGCATAATTTAATAAAATACATAATTATTTAACTAATTTATGTTATGATTAACCTTGACCAATTACAATTTTTTTTGGTGGACCAACCAATTACAATTTAATTAACTGTAACTACCAATGAATTAACAATTTTTACATCATTAACTGAACCATATATAGTTTTTAGAGTGTCAATCAAGACAGAAATTTTAATTTTATAGTTTATTTTGGAAAAATAATAAGAAAAAATGGGGAATATGTTGCAATTTTATTTTATAACATCAATTTATATAAAAAAAAAACTTCAAATGTTTAAATAATGACCTTGATAGGGTCAAAAGGCCTAAACTGTTGCTCATCTGAACAAGATGCTGATGGTGGACCTGATTGTAGTCTTTAGTTGTTTAAATGTAGTTTTGATAATATATTAATAATTTCTTTTTTGTAACAAAATGTATAGTATTTTGAAGCTCCTGATAATGACGTAAATAATTTTTTTGATCAAAATAATATAAAAAAATAAATTTCCAAAATGAGATTTATTTCATTCTATTTTTAATGTAAACGTGTTACGCGTGAAGAGGGTCGTACAAGATGCTTTGTTTATTTATACACAGCCAGGCTCTTGTAGTAACTGATACAGTAACTAACTTTCCTGCCAAATCACAAATGCTTAACAAACTAACCAAAAAAGATAAGCTAACAGTTATTAGTTAGCAACAGAAATATGCAAGACTTTGCAATGCTACTTGGTACATCAACTTATCCATCGAAGGTTTCAATGGTATCACCCTGCTTAACTCGGTACCACTGAAACGACTTATCTTCATCCATCTTTTCCCGGTTGTGAACGAAAAAATAACGACCATTATTTGGAAGAGGAAACTTAAGCTTCTGTTTCAACTTCTCCAGCTCCTCCCTCAGCACTTCCACATTATCACTAGCATTCACTTCCATTGCTATATTCACTTTTGTTTTCGCGATCAACACCATCACCTTCAACTTATCACACCCTCCACCACCACCACTACTACAGCCAACATCAGCCGCCACCGGCAGTAGTGATGGTTTTATGAACATGTCAATCTCACGATTATCTGTCGAAACCCCACAATCTTTCAGTAACATATTGTCGAGCAATTCAACACGTGTTGTATGCAACTGCAACAGAATTCTGTCCATTACCTTACGCTGAATCTCCTCCTTCAGCTTCGAGACGGTGTCATTGACGTCCATCAATACATGGACACGACCTTCAGAGGCAGGAATTTTCACGTCCAGCAGGATTTTCTTCGATGGCAGCTGCAGTGGCGAGTCCTTTCTCGACGCCAAATCTTCTAACTCTTTACTATTTAACGTCGGCGACGGCGGCCTCCGTTGTGGTGGCATATATGGCATCGGGATTTCGACTCTTCTTGGATGCGGTGGCCGTGGAAATTCCGGCATAGACGGCAGCGCATACCCTGGGATTGCCGTCGGCGTCTGTGGCACCTGCGTTATCGGCATCCCAAGATAATCATACCCTTGGAGTCTCGGTAGTGGCGGCAAGCTGTGCAACTCCTGCATCCCAAGAAAATCAGCCCCTTCTGGCATGTTTGGCATCGACAACACCTCTGTTGGCGGCGGAAACTCTGCGGCCATAAGGTTTACAGCCTCCGCCGGCACATTTGACATGGGTAACCCCGCCGCCGCAAGATTTGCAACTTGATCAGAGGTTAGGAGGAGAATGGTTGAGCCCGGATAGATTAATTGGCTTGTCCAGATGTCAAGACGATCTTCAAGAACTTGGCCATCGCAGATGAAGATTTGTTCTGAAACGGGAATGCCGTGATACAGTTGTATCTTGTATTTGATTTCGCTAATAGTGTCAAAGAAATCAACTGTAACAGAAAATGAGCCTCCTCCCAGGAGCTCAAAAATAACATCCATGTCAATCACTATATTGAGTAACAACAAATTGAGCAAGACAAAGTAACTTGATCCAGCGAGTGAAATGGCCTATATATTTATAAAGTGAGTGTGAGAAGTGGACGGTTAATTTGTAACTGAATCTAAGGGACTGAAAGGGAAGAGCACTCATGCTCTATAGTTTTTGGAAAGTTCAAGCCTTTGGGCCTCCAGTGGACGAAAAGGGATATCTGTGTTACTTTCTAGCGGGTTTTCTCCGTTGTGTAATTCCATATAAACTTGGAGAGAAATAGAAAATCACTTGTCTAAGTTTTTCTAGTGTAAAATGGCACTGATTGTCCATCTCTTTTTCTCATTTTGTAGAGTATACTAACACAAAATAATTTATAATTTATAATTTTTTTGGGGGTGAAACAACAATACTTATTAGTTAAATTTTACTTTTGGTACAATATTAAATTTTTTAATCTGTATAACATATTTTGTAAAAATATGTTGCATTACGAGTATGCATTGCTTCATTATGTAAAAATTCATTTAATTAATGATGAAAAATGTATCCAACGTACATCTTTAGAATTTGAAAATGTAAAGAATTGTAAGTTTTAATCAATGTACATTATCAATAATATAGTTCTAGCTCCCTAGCTCAGATTTATGGATGCATGCTGGTGCCATGGTATGTCTTCTCCACTAACTAGTAAGAAACGTACAAGCATCATGAATGTTGCTTGGGGACTGATTGAAAAAAAAAATTGGAATAAAATCACAGCGATGAAGACTAATGAATAAAGTGATCGTTTTCATTTTTGGTGAGTGGCCAGGAATGACGGCAACATTATTGTTACGTGGTGATTAGAAGAGTCTTGTGAAGGTTCTACTGCATCAAATATGGGAGTCAGTGACCAGCCCTACGAACCAAGCCTGTGTGATCAGTGCATAACAACATCCAACAAAGAAAAATAATCTTACTACATACGATCCATTCTCTTCCCTTCTTTCAATCTTCTTTCGTTATTTCCACAAGATCCTTGGCAACCACTTGTTTCCTGGTTACCTTCCTTAGGCCTAAGTAAGCAGCACGAACCATGACACTGTATGAAGAGTGGATCGAGCAAGGTTTTCAGATAAATCTACACGCAAGGCATAGCTCTTTTATACCATGCCGTTTTCATAAAATCTCATCAAAATTACTGAACTAGAGGCGTACAAAACCACTACTAAACATGTAAGAACCCAATTCATTGAAAGAATAAAGCAATAGCTAAACCAGTATTCTTTGGTGTTTACAGACTGTTAGAGAGCAACCCATTTAAATGGCATGTGTAAACAAACTTACTACATTTGTTTATAAATCCACGATTTTGTGGTTGTCATGAATAATTATGCTCTATCCCCCCGCCCCAACAAAAAAGAGAAGTCACCCGGAAAAAATCAATTTGCACCATTTGGATTTTATACTATAGCGTAGTAGTCCAGTTCAATTTCAGAAGTAAAATAAAATTTAGTACTTTAAAAGCAGCAGATGAAGCAACTAAAGCCGCTATCTTCTGCGCTTTGATTCTTTCCGCATCTCTGCCGTGTAGCTCTCCAGATTTGATTTCTCCCATAAGCGTCTTAGCACAAGATCTTCCTTTGTTGCTTTATCTATTAATAACCGGCACCAAATCAGTAAAATTTTATAGGTTCAGAATCATTATGAAATAAGCTATTAGGTTAGGCTATGCAATGTAGAATCCAGAACAAGTAACCACATCATAGAGCAGGATGATTCTACTTCTGGAACACAAATAATTCCTCAATTTCAATAGTGCCTAAAAGGAGAAAGTTTATCGTGGATAAATTGTAGTCACCTATATTTCTCCATCTATCGTGAGGAATACCAAGGGACCTTTGTGTCAGATAAGAAGCATCATCCCAAGAATAAGGGTACTTTTTCACCTTGTATCTCCAAAACCAACAGCCAGACCACAACAGCAGCTGGATGGAAGACAGAAGTAATTAGTACTTGCACATAAAACAATATTAATTTTCAAGGTTCAGCACTACTTGTGGGAAAGAATTTCATATATGTAACTTCAAATTAAAATTTAAAATAGAGCAATGAGAGATTCACTGTAGTACTTGCAGTTTCCAAATAAAAGACCTGAGCTCTAACCTTGCCAAAAGTATAAGGTAAAAGTACAAAGCGGACACCAACAAGTTTCCATACAGAGGGCCTTTCAGTTCCCGTTATCTGCAGCTCAAGTTCATTGCTGAGGTCTTCCTCCGTTTTCCTGCATATACAGATTCCACACATTGGGTCATTGTGTGTTAAAAGTAAAGAAATTACAGTCAATAAAACCCAATCTTATGAATGAAAGATAAACTGATTTAACGGAGGAAATAAGAGTTTGCAAGAGAAGGTCAGTAAATATAGAAAATTACATACAAGAACTGTACAGAATCAGGATGATATCATACTTGTCCATATTCTTTTGATTCTTCTTCTTGTTTGTAATCCCTCCACTGCGTTCAAGTTCCAATGCCTTTAGTCTATTTTTATACGCGGGCGTCTTCTTGACCATAGCTATAGCCTAAACACAACAAAATACAGTACAATTTATTTGCATGCTTCAAGAACGTTTTTACAAATAACAAATAAAGCAATTTGCACAGCTTAGAGGCTATTTCAAATCTTTACCATGCAGCTAATACTACAGATTATGGTAAAACATTTTAGCTGGAAATGACACCTGCATTCATTGGACATGTATGATACAGAAAATTCTCACAACCAAACTTGGGTTGTGGCAACCCTCAACTTCAAGACCTTGAATCCAGATGAAATGGTTCAAAACAAATCCAAAACCCCTTACACCATTGTGCTGAACTGCTGGGCATAAGTAGGCTGATTACAATATTTAACACCATAGGTACAGCCCTTCAGCCTTCAGCTAACCATTTAGAGCACACAGTACGAAAAATGCACAATTCACATAAATGAGCATATTTTCAGTGCTACAGGAGTGGGAACTCCTTTACTAACAATAGGAAAAAATTAGGGCTCAGGTGTCATTAACTGTAAAAGGGGGGGTGAAATAAGTAAACTTAGGTGTTACTTTTTTCTAATGTTAGCAATGATGTACTGAGTCTTTTTAATACTACAGGAGTACCAAAGCTATTTTCCACATAAAAAAAGTTCTAATCTTTTTATTTGTATCAGCAGTCAACAAACTCATAGCACAGTTTCTCATCGGTGAAGTGTTATAATAAATCAAAATTATATTTAACATATCACAGTACCTGATTATACCTTGTCGATTGATTTAGATATTGAAAACCTGAAAGAATAAGCAGAAGGCCGACCAACACAGCACGAGTATCCTGGCAGACAAAAGTGTACAAATACTATCAAGTCAGATTCAAGTGTAAAAATCAATCAATCAACATTTGGAATCGACTAACTTTAACCAAAATTTATTACTGGTCGCCAATACAAAATGGAACAAATCTCACCGTCTTGTGTCCATAGTATGCCTGATAGTAACGTGCAGCATTATAAAACACCTGGAATCAAGACATGAAGATTCAGTTGTACTTCAATAAACATTAAAAAGATAAGGGTGAACTTTTCAAGGTTATTGACCCCAATTTTAAGAGTAAACCAAACCGATTCGTAAGAAAATCTAAATACCTCCTCCGGATGCGCAATTGCATAATCGTATTGTCCACGCGTGGCCTCATCCTTCAAAATCTGTAAAAGAAGTTATATTTATGTCATTCGCAACAAAAGCAATTCCTCACCCAAAAAAAGAACAATATGATTAGTTTTCAATTTACTTAACATTGCATTAAAATCCCGAATCAATAATTCCATGAGACATTTAGGTTTTTTCCAAAATCATTGAGAAAAAGAAGAAGAAGCTTTAACTAGAGGAACATCCAAGGCACCTCGTAAGCGTTGGCAATTTTAACAAACAGCTTTCGTGATTCTGGATCAGGGTTTTTATCTGGGTGACTGAATTAAACAGAAAACCAAAAAGAAAGGAATTATTTAAAGGAAAGCCAAGCTAATTAAGTTAAGGAGAACTTGAAGAGAAAGAGAAACACATACTATTTCAAGGAGAGCTTGTAGTAAGCTTTCTTGATTTCGGAAGCATTAGCACTTTGAGAAACCCTACAAATAAATAAATAAAAGAAGACGAGGGAGGGTTAGAAGAACAAATCAAGCTGATACAACGAAAAATGGAATTAGGAGAAGGAAGGTTAGCTGACCCAAGCAGATCGTAGCAATCATCTTCGTCACAGTAGATTGCGAGCGAAGGAGAGATGATGTTTAGAAAGAGAACCACGACGAGGAATAGGATTGCGGTTGTGCGCCACCGGATCGGTACCGGCGGCGGATCCATTTTGCTGACTGTGTTTCGCCGGAAGTTGGTGTGGCTTCTCTACTTTCTTTCTCTTCCCCCAAACTCCAACAGGAATTGCCCTTTCTCTCTCGCTCTACAAATCCAATTTATTTCGGGTCCGCTGCTCAGAGAGTCCGACTTGAATTGGACAACTAACGACGACGTTTTATTCTCTTCTTTTCATCGAACAATTGTGTTTTAGTTGCTTTTCTAATTAATTCACTTTTTTTTTTGGTACTCAATTAATTCACTTTTTTCTTTTTCTCTGAATGTTTTTTTTTTTTTGGTAAACTCTCTGAATGTATTTTTATTTATTTTTTGTATGCACATTTATCCTATGTTTTTTGTGTACATGTTTGTTCATATTTTTTTAATCGAGTTTAAGTGATGAATTCAGTTTAGTTGTATTCTTAGATTGTATTGGATTAAGATTTTAAAATATTTATGAAATAAAAAATCTTATAGATTTTAAAAGACTATTTAGAATTGAAAAAATTTTAAAGACTTTTTTTAAAATCAATATTTCATAAGATTGGATTTTAATAGAATTTATAAGATTTGAGGAGACAATATGAATTTATAAGATTTTAAAAAATCATATGAATTTTTAACAAATATTCAAAATCACAATGGTCAATAAAAAAAATTAAGAAATGCAATGATATTAATAAAAAAAGTAAAACCTAATATAATTTTCTCAATCAGTAAAACAGAATATAATTTTTAACAAATATTTAAAATTACAAGAGTCAATAAAAAATAAAAGAAATGCAATGATATTAATAAAAAGAAGTAAAACCTAATATAATTTTCTCAATCAATAAAACATAATATAATTTTTAACAAACATTCAAAATTATTAAGCAATAGCTCTTCACGTAGCTAAAGATATACTAGTCCTCTACGTATTAACATTTTTCAGCTTTTGGGTTTGACCAATGGGTTGAAAATTATCTTCTTCATTTAGTATCATAGTTATATGATTATAAGACCCTTTTTTCTTTATTTATCAAAATAATTCAAAATTTGCATATAGAACCTAAAGTTTATGAGAAAATTTCATTTGGAATTTTTCACAGTTGATCTTGAAAACGTTGAGATTTTTATTCTATGTGATGAGAGTTTTCTAACCATATATCATATGTATTTTTTCATTGAGTATTATAAGAAAAATTTCAATCTAAATTTCTGAGTTTTATTACATGAAAGTTTAGAAAAAAAATTCAAATTATTTTCAATCGATACATTGAAACCTTAAATTGCTTTAGGGCTTTTGAAAAATAAGTTTTTAGTTATCTATTGACACAAAAATTGTTTGAAATTGTTTCCTATAGCAAAAGAATTTCGTTCATGAATGTATTGTTCCAAAATATATGGTTCATATTATGAAAGTTTCAATCTTTCTTTAAATTGATATTGTTTTATTGATGTAAAATGAAAATTGATTTTAGGGTTTTAGTTCCCATGTTATTTTTTCCACTATTTTATGGTGTTTTTACTACAAAAGTCACACCTTTTGTGCCGAATGAATCGCGACCCATAGCTTGAAAAAAAGATTTAAACTTCTAAAAGCTCTAAAAAATCGTTCAAATATATGCTGTTTTTGAGCTTTGACGAAGTTCCTACGACGGAACTCGATTTCAAGCGGGTCGACCCGCCAAAGGAAGAAAAAGACAATGCAATAGAGAAATCTCAAGAAATCTTAAGGCTTAAGGTGGGATTGTGAGAGAGGCATCCTATTTATATTTCTCAATAAAAAAGTCTCACAAAATCCAAACAAATATAAAATCTATTAAAATCGTTAGATTTTTGAATACTACAATATTATTTTTCTTTTATTTATAATCTAGATAGAATACCAACGGTGTTGGGAGGAAGATATTTGATAAAAGTAAAGGTTATAGAAAGATATGGAGGAAGAGAACACTCTTATAACTATACAACTCTTTTTCTTTTTCTTTTTTTGGCTTCTTTTGGCTTGTTACAAAATGATAGAGAACACACCTATTTATACTAGTGGCACCTCTTTAACCAATGGCTAGGATTATGCCAACACAATTCTCATCTAAGGGCTACAAATTATTCTCTAGAATTTTCTATAATCTCCTAGCCTAGATATTTATGATGGTGGTTTCTAGATACAACTATTCTCTAGATATTTTGATAGAGACATCTAGAGTTGATTATTCTAGAATTTGGGCTAGATAACTCTTGGATATTTCTAGATGTTGGGCAAAATGTATACTAAGTCCAATGGATCAAAAAACTAAATCAAGTTTATTTATTCAACACCCCCCTTAAACTTGATTTTGTAAAACAATCATATTTTGTGGAACACATTTGTCCGATGGCTTTGAGATTGGTGGAAGATAAACAATCTTTATCGGTATTTGTGGCGTCTCCGGTACATACACGATCTCTGCTAAATTTGACCAAGTAATCCTTGGTTTTTCCCTTTGCTCATTCTCTGAAATATCTTTTTTCTTTTGCTTTTATGGCACATCAACGAGAGTTTGTTTTTCTTTTATTGAAATTATTTCTCATTTGTTTGTCTTCTTTGTTGGTACTCCCCCTAACTTGTTGCTACTGCTCCTTGGCTACACTTTCTGTTTAATTTCTTTGTTGCTGTTGCTTCTTCCTGTTGATGGTGTAGATGCAAGAGTTGTTGGAGTAGGACTTGGTGGAGGAGTTTGATCATTTCCATCTTGAACTGTCTGCCCTTATGAGTCATCAACATTTCTAAAGAATACACCTTCAACTTTCATTTCTTCAGTTGCTATATGCTTTTTCTAGGTTGTCATTGTTTCATCCAATATGAAATTTCTTTGGGGTTTTATCTTTGATTCTGGCAGTGTTAGTACTGCTTCATTTTCCTCTTCTTCCTCACGTTCCTCATCATCAACATCGACGTCGTCAGGATCACTACTACACTCGCTGTAACCTTCTCCTCCTCTTTTTTCTTCATCTTCTTTCATCAAATCAGATTTATTTATCCACTCAACAGCTTCTGTATCTTCTTCAATATCATCAATATTATCAGCTTCAACTTCAGTTTATTCTTGATGTTCTTCTTCTTCTTCCATAGTCTCTGATTTATCTGACTCCAATTCAATTTGGATATCGAATTCTGATTCTGGATTGCTTGATTCTGTGTCTAGATACCATGTATTCTCTTGTTCTCCTACATTTCCATTGCGTACCATCAACAAAGTGCCATCTTCTTGACTCTTTTCCTCCACATAGTTCGCCTTCTCCTCAATTTTTCTTGTAAGAGTTCTACATTCATAAGCATAATGGCCGAACCTTTAACAGCTGTAGCATTTGATTTGAGACTTGTCACGTCTTGGTTGCGAGCCACCTCTTCCACGACCTCTTATTGAGCTCTCTCTTCGATCTTCATTGGCATAGTTGTTGTTGAAGCCTACTCTTCCACGTCCACGACCTTTTCCTCGACCACAATATCTTCCTCGTCCTCTTGTGTTGCCAAAATCTTCTTCCTTTTCTTTGAAGTTGAGTTGTGTCTTGAGTAATTGTTCACCAACCCCTTGCTTCTTCTTTTTCTTCTCCTCATAGTCTTGTAAAGAGCCCAAGATTTGCTCTATTGTCATAGCTTCCAAATCTTTTGTTTCTTCTATGACAGTGACAATATGATCGAATTTCGAATCCAAAGATCGCAAAATTTTCTCCATAATTTTTACATCATCTATCTTTTCACCATTTCTTTTTAATTGATTAGTCACCGTCAAGACTCTAGAAAAATAATCGGAGATACTTTTGGCATCTTTCATGTGTAAAGTTTCAAACTCACTTCTTAGAGTTTGGAGACGTACCTTCTTGACTGGCTCAGCACCCTTGCAAGAGGTTTGTAGCTTCTCTCATGCTTCCTTTGCAGTGGCTGCCTCCGAAATCTTCTCAAAAGCATCTTCATCCAATCCTTGATAGATGAGATAGAGAGTTTTCTTGTCTCTCTTTCTTGAATCCTTCAAGATATGCCTTTGAGCTTGGGATAGAGGAACTTCTTCTTTTGGCTCATTGTAGCATTTCTCTACCACTTCCCACACATCTTGTGATCCAAGGAGGGCCTCATCTTGATGCTCCAATTATCGTAGTTGCTCTTGTGAGCTAGGGACTTGGAAAGGAACCATGTTGCTACTTGCCATTTCTCCAGGAAGGATCTTAAGGCTCTGATACCACTTTGTTGGGAGGAGGATATTTGAGAAAAGTAAATGTTATAGAAAGATATGGAGGAAGAGAACATTTTTATTACTACACAACTCTTTTTTTTTTTTTGGCTTGTTTTTTCTTCTTGCAAAATGATGGAGGACACACCTATTTATACTAGTAGCACCTCCTTAACCAATGGCTAGGATTGTGCCAACACAATTCTCATCTAAGGGCTACAAATTATTCTCTAGAATTTTCTATAATCTCATAGCCTAGATTTTTATGATGGTGGTTTCTAGATACAACTATTCTCTAGATATTTTGATGAGACATCTAGAGTTGATTATTCTAGAATTTGGGCTAGATAACTCTTGGATATTTCTAGACGTTGGGCTAAATGTATACTAAGCCCAATGGACCAACAAACCAAATCAAGTTTATTTATTCAACAAACGGATGTGGACGGACTCTGAAATAATCTTTTAAAATCTTAATCGAATATCATGTGACTTTTTTTCAATCCTTTAAAGTCCTAATTAAATACAAATAGATTTTTTTGCCTAAAAAGAATCCATTAAAATCCTTTGAAATCTCAATCTAATACACGCCCTTAATATATAAATTATTTTCTTATTTTTGTCTACTTACCGTGATTGTTTTGGATTATGCTTACAAAATTTCGCGAGTAGTTACATAAGGTGATATAAAACAAAGGGTTCGTTTTTCTGTAGTTACTGGAGATAAGTTATCTGCAGTAAGCCAATACGATGTCGTTTTGTGGTGGAAATCATGGTGTTTTTGTAATTTCAGGGTTATTATAGTCTTTATAATTAAAATTTTTAATATTTCAATCCCAAAATAACGTCGTTTTGAGAATAAATGCAGATAACTTATCTGCAGTAACTGCAGAAATATTTTTTTTGCATAACAAATGGGGAAATCAAATATCATT